TAATAATACTGTAATGACAGTGCAGGATAGAGGGTCTCAGTGAATGTGTATAATAATACTGTAATGACAGTGCAGGATAGAGGGTCTCAGTGAATGTGGTCTGGGCTCTGTACCTGAGGGAATGATGATGATGGGTAAATATGATAATATGGTGCTTCAATTGGGCGCACAGTGGCTTCACACCCCAAGGGTTGTGGGTTCGACTCCCACCCCAGGCTCTGTGTGTGCAGTGCCCGTGTCTGTATGGGTGTCCTCCAGGTGATCTGGTGCCTGTAAATTGTCCCCAGTGTGTGATGATGAGTGAGTGGCTGCTCTGTGATGAACTGACATCCCATCCAGGGTGTCCCCAGCGCTGGAGGACAAACCTTGGTTTGAGCTTTATCCTGATACTCAACACAAGCAAACACTTCACAGCCAATAGTCATGTTTTCTAATATTACTTATTTAATTATTTGTTTTTTGGGGTGTGTGTTTGTAGAGGGGGGGGCATTTAACAGCCTATTAAGCCAGTCAGCACAGTTTGGATGCACTGTAATAAAGATCAAACCCAGGGTAGAGGGGCTCGGTGAACGTGGTCTGGACCCTGTGTAGGAGGGTCATTGTGTCAGAGACACTGTAGAAGGACAGAGTTCCTGCTCCGTGATCCAGGTACACCCCTATCCTGGGGGAGGGGGGGGCAGATACTGCAGATTCTACTTTATTGTGTTGGAATGAGTAACTGGAGCCTGAGCAGTACAAACACCAGGACTTGTCATTGTATCCAAGTGCGCTGTCAGTTGTCCCCCACAATGCAACAAAAACCTGTTATTTTGACATTATGGGGACCACTTTTCAAGTCACCACAAAGATCTGTGACTGTAGTCAAAAAACTAAAAATGACAAACATCTCATATTTTCTTTGGTTATGATTAGGGTTAGAGCTGGGTAGGGGTTAAGGGTGTCATGTTGGGATTAGAGTTTTCCCCATAGAAATGAATGGAGAGTCCCCACAAAGATATAATTACAAACCTGTGTGTGTTTGTGTGTGTGTGTGTGTATTAGGTTTATGTTACATTGCGGGGAACCAAATGTCCCCACAATGAACTAAAAACCTGTTTTTTGATGTGGGGACCATTTTTCAGATCCCCACAAAGATCTGTGAATGCAATTAAAAAAGTAAAAATGTCAAACACCTCGTATTTTATTTGGTTACTCATGGTTAAGGTTAGGGCTGGGTAGGGGTTAAGGTCATCATATTGGGATTACAGTTTTCCCCATAGAAATGAATGGAGAGTCCCCACAAAGATATAATTACAAACCTGTGTGTGTGTGAACAGACTCACATTGTATGAATTCTGCTCTGGGCACTAATACCGGTAAGATGGTGTTTCTAGTAACTAGGAGATAGAGAGAAACAGGGATGGACTTCATTCACTGTGGAGCCACCAGCAGGGGAGTATTATCATTATGAGGGACAATGACAGGAATTTGAACAAACTGCTAATTATTCTAAGTCCGGCATTCCAACTTGTATGGCTGAGAGATTTACACCCTATGAATAACAGCCTGGGCCTTGATTTAAGATCCAGACTAGAGCAAGTTGGTACCCCTAGTCTAGGAGGGGATGCACACTTGTGATCTGATAGGAGTGAAACACAGTGCTGGTGTTTTAAGAATCCAACATGCACCCCCTCCTTCCTCACACACAGTACCTCAAAGAGAGAAGCCTGTTGTGTATCTTCTCTAAGTGTTTACCTTTTTGTCATTATAAATGTCTAAATGTTACACCTGTACAATCCTTCAAATGATCTTAATAATTTTGTTACCCTCACAAAGGTAACTCACATATTGTGATCTATTCTATCTTTCCCACATAAAGAATGAAATACATAAATATATATTCTTTAGTTTTTCTCAGAATCAAAAAAACAATGTAACTTTATTCCACTAATAAGCTGTCAAGTTGTTTCACTGCCAGCACTGCCGTTATTAGACTATATCTGTTATGGATTGGATTTTCCAGGTATACGGGAGGTTTGAACGCCTTAGCCCATCTGACTTTCGCTGACATTAGAGTACCACCTTTTCTTTGGTGCCGTGCTGGAGCTGTTTTTTTCTGGCCCAGTGCGATTTCTTTGTGGTGGAAACGAGGCTTTAGAAACTTGCTGTGCAGTGTAACCTGCCAGCAGAACCAGGATGAAGCCAGGATTTACAAATGCAGATTTTAATCTCTTAATTTTTTCCAGAGCTGTATACAGATGAGCCCAGATAAAACTTTTAAGTAGCAATTAACCAACCATTACAAAGACTACAAGTGTGAAGACAGGTGGTTTGTATAAATTTTACTGTGTTCAGACTTAAGAAAGCAGCACAAAGCCACTATTCTGGGCCAATGAACTGACTGCAGTCCCCTTTGTGTCCACTGTGTGGCAGCAGTATACTGGAACTATTCTGTCACGGTGGCTGGCGTGTGTATAAGTCACATAGCATGGAATTCAGCCGTCAACTTTGTATCAGGGATCTGGGCAGGAGTGAATTACATACTAACAACGGTATGACAGAATTACATTATACACAATGTTTTGACCAGGAAGTTAGTCATAAAAAAAAAACTATCTCATCTCATCTGCACTGCCCTTTCGCACATTACATCTATCCATTATCTATTTTTTTATTTTTATTTTTTTATATTGTCCACATGCTTGACTCAGCATTGCACATCTCCTGTAAAAAAAATCCTTGTACCTTTACTTTTAGATGTTTATTCGTATGTGTGTTTTATTTATGTGATGAAACCACCGGCACCAAAAGAAATTCCTTGTACTTTTCTGTACTTGGCGAATAAAAAGATTCTGATAAATTAAGATTTGTGGATGTAGGTATGCATTGTTAAAGTAACAGGAAATCCAACACGGGTGGGTTCCTAAGACGAGGCTGAAGTTGACTCCTTGGACCTGGTCTGGGCTGACTTCCTGTCCTGAGAAGCTGGGGGGTCAGTGCTGGTAGTGGATCAGTGTTATCCTCACAGTCTTGTTGCAGCTTTTGGCAGTTTTCTTAGGAACAGCAGGCTGAAGTTGGGCTCTCATTCGCAGCTCCTTATTGGATTTTCTGGTTCTTCTTAAATGCTGTGCAATCGATTGCAATGACACGATCGCGCCTGTGGGGGGACTTATTTACCGAGGCTCACCTTTAGAACTTCATTTGGCTTTCAGTTGGTGTATCTTATTAAATGCTCGTGAAGTCGGCGGAAGTTGAGTGCAGAGGTCCGTTGTCCAAATCTTTCACCCGATAACCGCCAAATACAGCATATATGGACAATCTCACTGTAACTACAAGATCAGTGCCCAGATGCAGGTGGCTTCTCCAAGGCCTTGGAC